TCAGAAAATCTTTCAATATTGCAACTCGAGTTTGAATTGTTTCACCAGTTCGTTCAGCACATCTTTTCCAAGTATTCTTTCTGTGGGTGCTCTAACTTCAGGTCTTGGCACATTTCACGATCATATTATACTTTATCTTCTCAAGCTGCCCAGTGGCGTTTTTGTTTAGCTTTTTCACTTCACACTTAGTCCATTTGCTTTAGCTACTTTACTCAATGTTTCAGAGTCTCTTCTGACATCCACTTTGATCCTTCTTTTCTTTCTTGGCTTTTGGATGGCCTTTTGCTTTCTTCATGTATGATTTTCTGGATAAAATCCCATAGCTCATGAAATCTTCTGTCATTAGCGTTCAATGTGTGGGATCTGTTCTTGAGATGTTCTCAAAATTTGGGTGCAGATATAGTCAAGGTCATGCTTTGGCTCTCATGGACCGTTTTTCATTTTCATCAGCTTCCAACTGGACTTACAGATAAGCAACTGGTGGTCTGTTCCACGCCCAGCTACTGGCCTGGTTTGGAGCCACTGGCTGCTAAGATTGGCTTCTCCATTATCTCTCCCCACAGTTACAGTCAATTTTATTTCTGTGGATTCCATCTGGAGAAGTTCACGTCCACAGTTGCTACTTATGTTGTTGAGCACAAAGGAATAGCAATGAAGAAGTCATTGATCTTTCAAAAATTCTATCATACAATCTCCAGCTTCGTTTCTTTTACCCAGACCATATTTTCCAACTGTTCTTCCTTCTTCTGACTTGCACATTCCAACTTGCACATTCAAATCGGCAATTATCAATACATCTTGATTGTGTGTTTGATCAGTTTCAGATTGAAGAAGTTGGTGGAATTCCTCAGTTTCTTCAGCACTAACTTTAGTGGTTGGTGCACACATTTGTAATAGTTGTATTAACTGGATCTCCTGGTATGGGTATAGATATTATCCTATCACAGACAGCATTGAACTTCAAAATAGATCTTGAAATGTCCTTTTTTGATGTTGAGTGTGATGCCTTTTCCCCTGAATTGATCATTTCTGGTATAGTAAGCCATATGACTGTGTGATTCCAAGTGGCCAATCTCAGTCCATTTCGGTTCACTGATTAGGGTATTGATCTTTGTGCACTCCATTTAACTTTTCAACAGTTTCCAAATTTCCTAGCTTCATACTTCATACATTCCGTGTTCCAATTATTAGTAGATGTCTTCAATGGTTTCTTCTCCTTTCAACTCATTCCCAATCAGCAAATGAAATCCCAAAAGCTTTATTCTAGTGATGTCATTATGGTTGGCTCTACTTTGAGAAAGTAACTCTTCCTCACTTGTATTTTGAGTGTCTTCCACCCTGAGGCACTCGTCTAGCCTGTCAATCTCTGACAATGTTCTGCTATTCATAAGGTGTTGTATTAGTCTGGGTACTTTGGAGAAACAAATCCACAGCAACTCATGTATAAGAGAG